AGCCAGGTTGGCACAATCAACCTTAACTATCTCAGTCACCTAGTTGATTTCAATTCCTTTCAATCTCCTATCTAACAGAGTAGAACTGCGCTTCAGGGTTTCTCTTAAATCTTCAAGAAAGCAGATAACCCCATCTTTCTACCATAGAGCAGCTGGAGGGTTTGAACCCTCAACCTTGTGGTTAGCAGCCCAATGCTTAACCCACTGTACCACTGGGATTCCTTAACTACCCGGTATACTATTGTATTAGTCCGGGTTGGCTAGAGAAACAAATTCATAGTCACTCGTGTATAGAAGAAAGAGCTTTACATAAAGAGTAATTAAATTGTATATTCAGAAAACATCCCAGCCCTGTCCAGATCAAGTCCATAAGTCTGATATTAGCCCATATGTCTGATATCATTCTATAAAGGCCAGTGGGTGGGAAGTCTTGGGGATCCAGTGGTATTGGAAGCATCTCAGCGCTGGTGTGGGTCTCCACGTGGCTCGCTCCTCCAGCTCTAGGGCTCTGGTTCCATCAGTGTAGCTCCATGTGTCTTGTCAGCAGGAAGATGAAGCAGAAAGAGTGTGTCTGGCCTCCAGTGAGCTATTTATCTTCTTCTTGCCTCCAAATGAGGTCATCAAGCTGCGACCTGATTGACAGGCTAGACTCCACCCCTTCACAAGTTGACAGGAGATTGTATTACTGCCTCAACTATGATGTTCCTTTTCTCTAATTGTCCCATACTCCTCATCTGTAAGATTTAGGTTCCTTATAGTTCTGTCTTCTATACATCCCCATCTGCTAAGATTTTGTTGTTTTTCTAGATAGTATATGAGACATTGTACATGATATTTTGAATATACATTTTCAAATAATACATGCTTCCTCCCAGATTCTGATACACTCTCTCCCTGGCCAGGTTGAAAATCACATTACTTTCAAATGATCTCTACCCCAACCTTTTTCTGCTCTACTTTTTAAGGTTTTTTTTTTTTTTTCTTTCTGAAGCTTGGTAGACTTAAATTTGCTTGTATAGAACAATGCCTACTATGGTGCTATCTATCAATAAGCTGGGGATGATAACACCCCATCGTAATCAATGGTTGTAAGACTTTGATTAGATTAAGTGAATTCTGAGACTCAGCTGTTGTTATATTTGCATATCCCTGTGAAGTTGGTGGGTGAGAAAGTAAGTGCTGGGGAAACTAGATCACCGTCCACCAACACTTATGAAAGGGTATCCTGGAGAAGGGTGTTTTGGGGGAGGAGAGAGGTTTCCACATTCGAGACTCTTATCTTTCCCTTCCTGCAGCCTATACCTACATCCAAAGCCGGTTCTACCGATCCCCAGAGGTGATTCTGGGTCACCCCTACAACATGGCCATCGACATGTGGAGCCTGGGATGCATCATGGCGGAGTTGTACACGGGCTACCCTCTGTTTGCTGGGGAGAATGAAGTGGAGCAGTTGGCCTGCATTATGGAGGTGAGGAGAAACTGGGTCTGCTGGGTCTGAGGACAGTTGTGGCTCTTAACTGTTGAGCTGAGTCAGAGTAGCTTAAGTCAATGGTCTATAAATGTTTGTTTTTGACTTAGATGCTCCCTCAAAAATAATTTTGGGATTGTTCACCCACTTACACATTATTGAGATAATGGCCTCTATGTTCCCATGGTTTCAAAAGGTACCGTGGTGGCCCAATGGTGAAGCACTTGACTGCTAACTGAAGGTTAGCAGTTCTAACCCACCAAGTGGCTCCTTGGGAGAAAGACCTGGTAGTTTGCCCCACAAAAGATTACAGCCCAGAAAATTCTATGGGGGAAGTTTTGCTCTGTGCCACAGAGGGGGTCACTGTGAGTCAGAATCCACCCAACTGCACCCACAATGCTTGCAAGGCATCACCAGATCATAACGGTGTCACTCGAAGGTAAACCTGCTAGGCCGCTCTTTAAAATATAGCCAAGGAGCCTACAAATGGCAGTGATGTCACACCCATGCAAATCCTCAGAAAAGCACGCGAACGAGCGCAACGGTTTTGTGTGTCTTGTACACGCTCTTTTTTTTCTCCTTGAACTCCAATTTTCATAGGAGAAACTTCCTCCACAGAGTTTTATCCTAATGTGCTATGGTCCTACATGTTGAGATCTTCTTTTTGATTTATTCTATCTTTATTTTTTTCCCAGTTGCCATACGGTCCATTTCTGACGAGTTGTCTTTAGAATACAATTAGGGAATATGTTTTGCTAATCATTAAGAATAAAATGTAAATTTTTGTTGGTCATCTATATCTTTAAGAAACTGGGTGGAACTGGGCTCTCTCTTTTCCCAATCAATCCCTGTACCTGTAGATGATCGTTACTTATTGCTAGAAAGAAAAGAAAGGCTCATGAGTTATTTCATGCCAATTTAGGGTGTAGCGACATGTACACTGGGAAGAAGGTTAATTCTGGACTTCTTTTAATTAATATGTTAACACCAAGTACTCATCAGTCAAAAATATTTTTAACAATGAGTTGGTAAATTGACTTACATTTTGTTGTAGAGAATTAAAAATGGGTTTGCTAACCCACCCAGCTGGACTTGAATTACTTTTGTGTTGAGGCTTACAGTGGAGTGAGATTACCTTTGGGGCATTTATTAACAGACATGAAACAATTTTGTTATGTGTTCTCACAAACAACTCAACCCTGAGTATTTCTCACTGGTATTACAAATTGTTAACTTCCTTAATAAACCCTTTAGTCATGAAAAAAAAAGAACAACCATTTGACATATGAAATATATTTTTATGTCATTAATCATTATCATAACTCATTATAGCATATCCTATCTCCCCATCGAGTCCTAATTATATCGATTGTTCTTCTGGAGCCAAATTAGACAATACAGGAGGAAAAGCTGGGAGCACTTAGGAATTTCACATTTCGGGGTTTTCCAGTGAACAAAGGTTTTTTAAATGTGAACAAAGATCCCTAGCTATCTGCCTATCATTGATCCATGCCAAATTTCTCCTTTCTAGATATCTCAAAGGTTTCAGAGATACATACCCTTGAAAATTATGATATATACTCCTCACTTACTATCTCGTTATATCATACTTCACATTTCTGATGATAGTTAAAAAAATCATATTAATGATGTATAGCTGGCAGTAGCAAAAGCCAAGAGTAAGTCTCACATTGGCTGTGAGGGCTGACGTTTGCGTCATTTGACCAGGCCATGATTCTCTGTGGTTCGGTAGTTATGTGATGATGTAATCTGGCAGTAATGTAATGACGTCATCATCCTCTTTTTATGATCTGATGTGGTCATCCTCCATTTTCACATAATGCCTATGTTGGACTAATGACCTAGTCTTTGAGACCTAACCATGTCAATAGGTGTGGAGAAGACGTATATATAATTGTATTTTGTGGTTCAAACTAATAATAAATTATTGAAATAATTTCTGTTGAAATGGCTATAAATGGAAACTATGGTGAGAAAAGCACTGGCTTTGAACCAGTGACCTTACCTCTGTCTCTTCCTCCAACTCACTCACCACCAGCAAGTGGATTCTGACTCATAGAGACTTTATCGGACAGAGTAGAACTGCCCCTCTGGGTTTCTGAGACTGTAAATCTTTATGGGAATGGAAAGCCTCCTCTCTCTCCCATGGAGCAGCTGGTGGTTTTGAACTACTGACCTTGCAGTTAACAATCCAATAGGTAACCCCCTCTGCCACCAGGACTCCTGGACTTGTGTAAAATGACAGATCAGAGTAGATGGCTTGTAAGATTGGCATTGGATGATTCCACGGTGCATTTCTGAGCCATGCCCGGGAGGTGCCCAGGCAAGGTGATTTCCACGTCCCTTTCTTCTGCTTCTTTCCCAGTGCTCCACACTGACCTCTGTTATGCTAAATTAGGTGTAACCAGTGAGTAGTACACAGGTTTATTTGCTCTCACAAGCAGATCTGGCTACCATCAAAAGTGCCCTGCTTCTAGTTGGCACTGATACCTGTCTAGAATAGCATGACCTGGGTCGCTTCTCCTGGGTTGTGAGTTCAGGGACTGGGCTTAAAGAACAAACTAACTGCTTTGTGCTTGTTGAAGGTGCTGGGCCTGCCACCAGCCCGCTTCATTCAGACGGCCTCCAGGAGACAGACATTCTTTGGTAAGTCCCCTGGTTTCTCTTTTTCCCTTGGTAATTGATGGGGTGTCGCTGGCCTTCAAGAGACATCCTCTACTCTCCACCCCATTTGGTGGTATAC